CATATTATTAAGGCCTAGAAGTAGGATATATGGCACATAGAATAAACTAAAGTTTCCCTCTGGTCTCTATTGACAGCCCTAGTAACTACTAACAAATAAATACATGTACATGTATTAACAAAAACACAACAGTTTTTACAAATAACAAATTAGTATTAACGAAAATCAAATAAGTAGTAACAAATTACAGATAAGACTATTTGATAGAACAGAAAACAATAAAGATAGGACAATTGTTCAATAATAAATTGGGTAGAACGTCATGCACGCACAGACACGCACACATGCAAAAACGCATACACACCTTCTGTTGTCTGTCTGTGAGTTTCAATGAATAAATAGCCGTCCAAGTTCATGTTTAATTTGTCAAACTTTACCACATTTCAGACATACATTTGGTGGTGCGTTGCATGTATCATTTTCTCTGTTTGTATTGAGTTACTTAAAGGGTATATGCTTGTTGACAAGGACAGTTTTTGATCTTCTAAATGCCCGTCTCATATTTAGCTATTATAGATTTCAATTCAAATGCATATTTTTAACCAAAATTGTTCATTGATTCAATAAGGTTGAAGTGGAAAGTTTAACATTTTCAAAATATATTGGAACCCACCTTGCACCATGATCTTTTAAGATTTTAGAAACTTATCTAAATTGTGTATTTCTGTCATTCCAGAGAAAAGCAGTTATAACTGTTGCTGGAAGCCCAAGTAGAAGGGGAAGACTCACAGTGTACAAACTCTATATTGATTTTAGAAATGACAGGTTTAAAGTGGTCAATTTAAAAAAGGGAGGTGGTACAAGAATAAAAGAATTGGATGAAGAAATATCGGTTTGGACATTAGTTGAAAGAGGAAGTAATTTTTTCTTTTCCTAGGAAAAAGCCAATTAGTGAATTGAAGATATAGACGTTTCACTTGGAAGTATTTTAGGCGAGCAATTTGGCAAATTCACGGACGTAGTAGGCAAAAAATACATTTTCATTAATATTTGATGGCACATGACTTGTTTTCCCCACAATTTCACTTGTATTCTAGAAGTAAAAAAAGCAGGAGCCAGTAAGTAAACCATGTATCGCACCACAAAGTTTTTTTTCTGGTTTACAATGTTATACCATGCATCATTGAAATAATCAGTGGATCAAGGATGATCAATTGGTTTTTAAAGGACTGGATGCAATATTACACCAGCAGGAGATTACTATGAAGGAATAAATTTGATCGGACAGAACAAACATACACATATTGTTTATAATGCAGGGTAACAGACCAAATGAGGCCAGGTCAAATAGAGAAGTTGAATATTCATGATAACACCTCTCGAGATTTATCCGACACTTTTTGTGTAAAAATCTAGTAACAAAGTCATCCCTCGATAGCATAACTACAACAAAATTACAAGAGAATTGCAGACTCGATTTGATTCAATCTGTACATGAGGGATAATGAATACGTGCAACATCCCTCACTCCCCCTAGCACCGGCTTGAGTGGTACTCAATTCTCAACACTTAATAGTGCTGGCATCAATTATCCCAAAGGACCAGAAAAAATATAACAGCATTGAAGTGAAGTACGTAAGTCACAGAAAGCCACCTTTAAATCAACCGACCTTATTTTTCAGCCACAGATAGTCGTCACTCAGTCACATGACTAGAACATTCAGACACTCTTCAACCCCATGATTCACCACGTAGTCCGCCTTACCAGTTTCATGGGATATTCATTTTTATATTCAAATTATACATATTCATTAATAATTTAATAGATTTCAATAAATTTGTGAGATAAAGATATTTTACTCAAGGATGAGCAAAGTATATATTTCAGTTTCAGGGTGCTCCATAAGTTTTTGTGTTTTTGCTCACCTGAGCATGAAAAACTGATGGTGAGGTTTTGGGATTGCCTGATGCCCATCGCGAGTTGTATGCCTTCTGTGAAAATTTTATGCAAAAACATTTCCTAAATCACTAAGCCAAATTGAATAAAACTTAACAGCAATGATTCTTGGGTGACCATATGGCAATATTGCTAACATTGTTCCTATCTACTAATTAAATAGCCATTTATCTGCATAAAAGTTGTTTGAACTTCTGACGACCACATTTTTACATTGACATTATGTACATTTTTTATGACACTTCAACATTTTCGATGCCGTGGCATACAGCATTTGACTTATGCGAGTGTATGTGTCCGTCTGTCTGTCTGTACTATAGATTATATAAACTTCCAATATCTTCTAAAAAAAATCACTTCAATTTTAGCCAGACTTAACTGGATTGTTTGGGTGAAGGACTTTCAAAGTTATTAGGCATTACCTAGTAGATATCTAAACCTATTTGTTTTAATCATGCATTCTGTGACATGCCATGTGCGTAATCATATCAAAACACCATTTATATACAGTTCATTTTACAAATGAAAATAAAACAAATAATCACTGAAATAAAAATCGAAAAGGGCAAGTGGAACCTTTTTTGACAAATGCTAATGACACATATCTCATTTATAATCCGTCCATGCTGTTTTCTTAAAATGCCAAAAGCTCTATGAAAAGTCGTAAAGCATCGTATAGATGGACAGTGATTCGAGTTAAAATGTTTACATTGTCTTGCGATTTGGACAGCAAACTACCTTTTCTTTGCCGTACAACTTAAGGTTAATATGGACGTCTTTTAAATTCCAAAGATGTAATGAAGTGATATCCATTTGTAAAGTCTGGAACAAAATACATAACATCTTGTTTCACCCCGTTGCAATTAAGCGTATCGTTTTTTGCAGTCGAATATTATGCGAATTCCAGTTTTGTGCAATTTTATCCAAATCTGTTTACAAAGCATTCATAAAAAAGATTCTCAGTCAATCCTTTGTCACGGGTTTTCAAAAGCAGACATTCCGAATCCGTTATATCTTTGAAAAAATCAACCCAGCAATAAGTTCAAGCTTGCGAAACATCTCCACCATGACTTTTCTGGATTCATGTGTTTTTCTCCATGCATAAAGTATTTCAATCCGACGATACTGCCAGTTGACGCATAACTGAATATCAGTTGTAAAAGGCTCAATCTTATATTTTCATCCCATAACTTTAATCTGCTCGTTAAAGTCTTGAAAGAATTATTAACTGTTTCAAGTAATCAAGATCGTGATGCTACTTCATGCCACATGACTCTGCGACTTTAGCTGTCGATGCATCATTGAATACATAACCGGGGAGGGCCGACCGCTAATGTTGTAAGAACTTGGGCCCAACCCGTTTGCTTTTGCTGTTTAGAATACATATGAAATTTGTATCTGTATTGTATATACATGTATAAAGCAATAAAATATGATTAAACTAAAACTACAGAATCCGAATGGTTTTAATTTTCATTGCCATCCACATGCAACATAAACACTGCAGTTAGGCCATTTAGGTGCATATCTCCTGCGGCGTTCATTCTTCAGTTGCACGAGGATTAAGGTGTTTCATAATTCCCTTCTTTTCACAGCTAGCCTATGATCACAAGTCTTTTTCACATGGTTCTAACCCCAACATTCGTCTCTTGATGAACAAGACATATTTCCTTGTTAACAGGTGAATATTGCATATGGTGTCTCGTTAGATACGCTACGTAGGACCTTCCATTAAATATATGTTTATTAGTTTATTTCCTGCCAAACCATTTCTGAGGTGTGGTATATGTGACGGCACTAAATTATCTGCATATGGAAATAAATAATATTATACGAGTAGAATGTACGCGTTGAAATGCTTACACCATCATTCTTTCTTTACGATTTACAACATGGCCGAGCAATGTATTAACTCATAACAAATAAGCAATAAAAAAGTAATAACAGATTAGTGGTAACACGTAACAAAAATATTCATAATGATAATAATTCTTCTATTCTAAAATACCTTGCATTTACTTAACAGCACAGTAGTCATATAGTAAAATAGTTGTTGGTAAAATATATACATGTATATATAAATTTAAAAAAGGGTACTTGTAGCACTCACAATGCTTATACTGAATTTGTGTGTGTATGTGTGTGTTTTGGTGTGTGTGTGTGTGTGTGTGTGTGTGTGCGTGCGTGCGTGCGTGCGTGTGCGCGTGCGCGTGCGTGCGTGCGTGTGTGTGTGTGTTTGTGTGTGATGATGTGTGTGTGTGTGTGTTATATACAGAGTGTTCATGTTATGTAAAAAAGTAAATTACCTAACCATTACAGAAGATGGATTAAGATGTTAAAATATTGGAATAGTCTAACAGACGAGAATAATTTATTGAAGCATGCCTTTAATTCGGTTTATGAAAGGTGCACTAACAAATGGTGTTTGAAATAAAAAAAATAGTTCATAAACTAGGATTACTAGACAATTTCGAGCGGAAAATAAGGATTAATATGGAAATCTCTCAGTCAAAAAATAAGAGAATTTCTTTAAAATTCATGGTTAAAAGTATGTATTGTCACTAAATTACGGTTGTTTATTTCTTTTAAAGATAAATTCTTCGCAGAAGAATATGGTAAAATGAACTTTAAAAGAACGAGATCTACGAGAGATCTCTACTTGCGCAATTCGGAATCTTAACCCCGTGTTTAAATCGGGCAATATATTGGTGAAAACCTCGAACAGCGACCTTGTACGTTCTGTGATTTACATGAAATTGAGGACGAAAAACATTTCCATATAGCGTGTCCTTCCTATGACCACATACGAAATGACCGTTTTCGTGATTTCAACGTTAGGCTATATAATCCAATGACGGTCACAAATGAATTTACAAACTTAGTGAAAAGTTGGTTAATACGTAAATTACAACAATTTAAACAGAAAAAAAAGAAAAAATACAACATAAACAGCAATGTTCTATTAGAATAGATCGGGGGATGCAAATACTAGTACATGTATTAGTCTTCCAAATTCTTTAGGGGGCATGCTTCCGCCCTTTTGAAACAAATGAGGGGGAAAATCCTATCACAATAAAATAAGAGGCATAATGATCATAGGCAAATGTCCGAAGAGGCAAATGTCCTAGAATATCTAATAACAACCATCATACGCCATCATACGCCGGAATTAGTGAAATTATTATGGCACTATTACAAAACATTCAAATAACCTGGAAATTGGGTGGAAAGGTTGCTTATATGATTTCTAGCATAAGTTTGAATACTGCACATATGGGGCTGATATTCTACAGGAACTATTTCAGACAAATATCTTGAAAATTTGTCGGAAAGTTTTGTTTATGATTTACTATTTCAATCCAAATACATGTATCTTTGAAATTTATTTAAAAAGTTGCTTATGTTGATAAAAGGAGGTGATAATCAGAATATTCTTAATATTCTGATATTCTTATTTTTCTGTTCCTGGAAGGTTATATAAAAAAGAAACGAAAATTTGCTAGCGAGGAAAAGAAAAAGAAAATGGCTAGTGAGGAAAAGAAACAGAAAATGGCTAGTGGGGAAGAGAACCAGGAAAGGCCTATGACTAGTGGGGAAGAGAACCAGGAAAGGCATATGGCTAGCAGGGAAGAGAACAAGGAAAAGCCTATGGCTAGTGGGGAAGAGAACCAGGAAAGGCCTATGGCTAGTGGGGGAGAGAACCAGGAAAGGCCTACCAAGGTAAGGGCATTAAGAAATAAAGAAGTCAAACATTAAATAAATAAATCATCAAATAAATTCGTTTCCTAATATCTATTAATTCATTTATTTATATATTCATTTAATTAATTATTTATTTTTTTACTAATAATTGATTGCTTGATTGCTTGCTTGATTGATTGATTGATTGATTGATTTCAAGTTGTTGTTGTCTGCTAAGTGTGATAACATTCAAAATTAAAGACACATGTATGATTTTTCACTTAGTATCAAATATTTTAAGATATTCAGAAGATATTTGTTCGATTTGCGATAAAGTTACAATATATTTCGGAGAGTATATTCACGAGAGGCGTAGCCACGAGTGAATATATAACAGATGGTGGTGAAGAGTAAAACAAAAGTTGAAAAACAAACACATTTGATATTCATTGCATGCGTTTTATTGGTTTTGATTCATTTTGGCGTTACATTTTGCGCTCTTGTTTATGACACCATCAATTCATATCACAATGTTCATATTTAGAAATAGTTCTGAAATATTTCACTAAATTAATAAATTTTGTTTTTTATGTAATATAACAATTATAATCAATATTTATCAGCTCTTAGATATGAAATCGTACCCCTGAACTCAATTTCTAGCTGCTTTGAAATTAGAAGAGGTTCTGAAATCGTTTTTCAGTGAGTCTTTAGTTTGCTTTGTGGAAATATCATGTACTCAACGGGGAAAATTTAACATTTCGTTGTGGTATAATTCTATCAAATCTAAATTAATTTTGATCACTGTCAGAAAACATTTAAATATTAACATTTTGTTGCTGTTTGAAGACTAAATTACAAGCAAACGTTCGCAGAAAAATTACAAATGATTACTTGTTGGTATATTAATCAACAATGTTCATGGTTTTGCCGTTTTAAGGGCACTTATATTATTTCTATACAAGTTGTACATTTCTTTGTAACATGACTTCAAATAAACCAAAAGTTAAAAAGTTTTAATAATTGATAGGTTTTTAACGATCCTATCCACGGTAATATAGAGTTACATCCCTTGTTGGTGAAGATAGTTGACACACCGCAATTTCAACGTCTTAGATTCATAAAGCAACTCGGTGGCGTTTATTTCGTGTACCCCGGGGCATCACATAACAGGTTCGAGCACTCCATCGGGTATGTATCTCGTTATTTCATTTAGCTTAGATATTTATGTTAACTCAATATACATGTATTCTTCAATGTAGGCGTAAACACACCCTGATGTTTTTTTCATTGTCACTATTAGGCACATAACTCTTATTTAGCCCTGTATTCAATTATGTATTAGTAAACTCCCCTAGATAACAAAGCGTTTTTGGATCAGAATCATAGTTAAACACATATTGTGCACAACACTTAGTCCAGTAATAATGTGGCTTTCGTGATACAAGTTGATATTGCTAGCCTTTTACAATGTAAGTAGCACATTTTTAATCCCGGTATCACTTATATCTTAATCTCAAACAATTGATGAAATCGCTGGACGGTTGTTAAAACCATTGCACTTAATCACGAAGAAACTTAACTTCATACAGACTCTGCTTTATCTTTTACTTTTTCACCGCATGCTACTACATTTTTTATATGTTATTTATACATGTATAATCTTTACCTTTATCGGGAATTAGCTTCAGCAAATGAAACTATGAGTAAACATCTTCGAAGAAGTTTAAAATTTTAAAACCGAATTGAGTTGATGGGATTTGGGTTTTGGCGGAAAACAGCGATGCTTAACACTTGAATAACTTTCACTTAACGAGTTAGCAGGCCTTTTCTGAATATTCAATGTATGTGTTTGAGCAGCATTTAGATATGATAGTCTCTTCTCTGATAAGAAATGTTGTGTGCCATTCATGTTTACTTCAGAAACAAACCACCATGAAAAAAACACACACACAAAAATATTGTTCGAGCCAACTCTGCATTAAACAAGTACAAATGTTGCTGCAATGCAGCAATTGAGAAGCTCCGCGCAAAAAATGTGCTCATTGCAGATACCTTACCAAATTATTCCTACGCACAGGTCATGTTATATTCAGATTAAGTACTACGAATGTTTTGTAAACCATTTTTTGCATAATTATACTTATCCTTTGCACTGTCCATAATTAAAAAGAGGGGGAAAATATTTAATATAAAAAATGCTTTCACTGATGCCTACCTGGTAAGGAAAGAAATTCCATTGACTACAAACAAGATTTACAAGACTTGTAAATGTTATGTGACATGACTGTATCTGTGTTCTGTTGAATTACGGACATTTCGGACCATGGACATTTCGGACCAGACACTTCTGACCAGATTTTGGGACATTTCGGACCATGTGATGGTCATTTTGAACCAAAAGTGGAACACTTCTGACCAGAACATATATTCCTTTTAATATGTAATTGTTTGTTATTTCAGGATGTATTTACAATATTTTCTAATAATAAATGCAACAAATATTTTTATATTTTATGATATTCAAAATGCATGCAGTAATGACCTGTCCGATGAGATTTTCACATTTTTGACAAGGTTATATTACCATTGTTTTGACTATCCATGTAAAATACTTCTATCATAATTCATTTGTAATCTTGAGAAAAAAAACAAAAAGAAAACAATTATAGACATGGAAGTTGATCATTTAATAAATTTTCTGCAAACGTGTGTCATTAAAACATCATTGCTAGTTTTTTTTTTAATTTCCTTCATTTATAGTGCAAAATATATAATATAAATCGGGATAGGTGTAAACTCTTCCCATGGTGTCTCATATATTCTAAGGTTACACTTTAGTTTATAGAATAAAAAAAAATGATGCATAATATACTAGTATAAATAATGATATTTATTCTGGTCCGAAATGTCCAAAACAATGGTCCGAAGTGTCTAACACATGATCCCAAATGTCCAGCACATGGTCCGAAATGTCCAAAACAGTGGTCCAAAGTGTTTAACGCATGACCCATGTCCAACACATGATCCGAGATGTCCCAAAATTTCAGTAACAGAAGATAGATGATAGAAATATCAAAGTCTGTTATAATTGTAACAAATATACAAATAGTAACAAAAGGGACTAATATTATAATATAGTAATATTACATGCATATTTTTCATGTCAAAATAAAAAAATTGTTTCTTCCAATATTGAAAGTAGAACACTCTCTAGAATGAAAAAATGGGATGAATTTCCAAAAGACCAAATTCAGGATTTTGTTTGATTGCTATACACGCGTTACATGGTGATACAGTATTTATCAATATAATAGAAGACTGTTACCTGAATTTTAGGTAGGTATGAGGAAATTCACTAATATCATTTTCGTGCGAGACAAAGATATGAAAGTTATTTGGCATACAAACACTTGGGATGTGGACCTCAAAACGCCTTTAAAATCCAAATAGAATGTATATTTGTCAATCCCAGCACATGTACTGTTCATATTAATATAAGCCGTTTTGAAAATAAAAATCATATTTCAACGTCTTTTTTTATAGGTACGTCTATTATTATATGTACATGTGCTGGGATTGACAAATATGCATTTTACTTGGATTTTAAATGCGTTTTGAGGTCCACACCCCAAGTGTCTGTGTCCGCTTTGTCAGCCATGTTTGTTTTAACTTAAGTCTGTCCAAAGTGAAAGTAGGCCAAAATTCATATAACAACAAAGCTCTTATTGTAAAATGATGAACCATTTGAAAATACACTTCCAGGTTTATATTTTAAGGACAATTATAAACAAAAATAAAAATGATAACAATAAGAATATTTACCTTGAATGTGCTACATTTCTGAAGACCAAAACCATTCTGTTGTTCTTAATGCTATCATTTTTATTTAAAAGTTTTGTTTAAAATAGTCTTTAATACATAGCATTGGAAGTGTATTTGCAAATGGCTCATCAAATAACAATGTGAGCTTTGTTGTTATATGAATTTTGGCCTACTTTCACTTTGCACAGACCTTGTGAAACAAACTTGGCTGACTAAGCGGAATCACCTTAATGAGAGACCATCCGCTCGTAGGGCTACAATATGCAGCTTTCGCTATCGAGTACGGACCCTCCGAACATGTCCCCAGTCATACCATTACCACAAAGTGGTATGCTGAACCACTGTCGCTAATGAAATGTAACCTTATATACTAAAATTTAATTATTTCAAAACAACAAATATATCAACATGTTATTATTAAACATTTAATTTCATAAATATAAATTAAAAAAAAATATCAAAAGCAAAATTGTTAAAATCTTTTGCCTGAAATCTTCTTTATATTGACAAATTCAATCACTAATAGTATACTTGATATGCTGTGTGTAAATGTATTTCAAAATGTAACAAATTGTAATTTCATGGACTATTTAAAAGGGAAATAACAAATTTATAACCTAAGTGTCAAAAATCAAACATTTATAGCTATTTAAAGCTTTCGAATTTATGTAACAGCAGAACTGCTTTCCGGTTCACATTCATTAATATGACATGCTGCGAACCACCGACGGGGAAACCAATATAGAAATCGAAAGGAGTTCTTGAATGCGGATTTACTTTTAGCTGTTAATCGAAAGGATTTATTGCTCAAATCCGGGCCCATGGACAAAAAAAAGTAAACACAAATAGCTCCGCTTAAGTTCTTGATTTCTTTTCTATTCGAAAGCGTCTGCCACCTGGCCGGACGATTTTTACGAGCACTAAAGGATAGGCAACCAAACCTTGAGATTTCATCTGAAGATATACTTTGTGTTGAGATCGCAGCCTTGTGTCATGACATTGGTAAGACTTTTTGTCTATGACATAACATTTGGGAATTATGTCTCCAAAAAAGGTTATGGTAGACATTTTGGAAGACATATTGTTTTTGCCTCCTTCGGCTTCCGTATGTCCGTCTAGTTGGTAGTCCGTCCGCATTTAGCTTGCCCGTCTTTGAGAGGCCGGACTGCTGGTGGGATTTCAATTAAACTTCACAGGAGTGATCAGTATCATCCCCAAAGAAAAAGATTTGTGTTGAATTCAGTGAGTACCGAGGTAATTTTTTATGATTAATTTAGGAAACAATCTTGAAAACAACGAGGGATAATGGAAAAATGCAACATCTCTCAAGCATTACGGGGCTTTAATATTTGAAGCTCAATTGCATGTAACATAATTTTCCTTATTCTGTATATTGTATACATTACATAAATATTTTCCTTTTAATGACTACATGTATTAATGTTAGAACGAATTTTAATAGTTAAGATTTCGGAACGTCGTAATCGATCTAACAGAATTTTATTTTATTTTTTATAGGGCCGCTAAAATTAAAATATATTACTGTATTATATATATTTATTCACAGGACACGGACCGTTTTCTCATCTCTTTGATAAGAGAATTATTCCTGAAATTTTGGAAAAGCGTAAGAAGGAGAACCAGCAAATGCCTTCCACGGTAAGGTCATTAAGAGATGAATAAACAAATATTAAATAAATATATCATCAAAAAAAGTAATTTCTTTAATCTATTAATTTATATTTTTATTTATTTTATTTATTTGATAAGAAAATTATTCCTGAAACGTGGGAAAGCGTAACAAGAATAGGAAATGGACGGTAATTTCTTAGACATACTTTTTTCCAATTAATTAAACTGACCATGTGACCACAGTTGTAAATCAGAAGTCAGGTTTTTAATTAACTATAGATGATGCAAAACGCACACGTTGTTTAAACTTTATACATGATATTAAGTTCGACCTGCTTATTACTAAAATTTATGCAAGGAACGAAAGGTATTTGTTTTACTAATGATAGAATCTTTTGCAGCCTGAAGCGAGGAATGTGAATGAGGAATGGACGGTAAGTCTTTATACACATTTTCTTCAGTTAATTAAACTTACCATGTGGCTACAGTTGTAAATCATTTAACAACAACATATTTTGGTACATTTAGCGACGGTTGCGACATTTAGCGTCACTAGTGTTCATCTAGCGGCAATAGCGACATTTAGCGTCGTTGCGTTGTAATGGCGCCCGCCACACAATCAGCAGGACTGGTTTATGAGGATGATCACACTATAAAATCACTATGCATCTATTAAGAAGTAGTTTGTTTATCATAAACAGTAAATGTTGTCTGTCACGCGGAAAGTGGGAAACGTTATGAATGTGATAGTTTGAAAATCTCTCGGTCAGTCGTTCAAAACATGTGGTCACCAATTGTACTAGGGAAAGAAACCAACTTATTAATGAAATGTAGAATGAATAAAAATGAACGACAAGTCAATCAACTTCAGGTAGGTTCATGTTTCACGAAATTCCCGAAATTTGATTTTAAACTAATTAACAAAATGTGTGTTCTCTGACTTGTGGATACAGTATTTTCTATACTTAAGTTATCATATCAAACATGCCGAAATTAAACAATAGTATGTAGTAGTGTATAGTGAATTGCGCAACCGAAAAGGTGCTGTTTAAAGCGAAATTGTAATTTTAATGTGTAGTTAAAAGTGTTCAGCCGTAAATGGGTCATAATTTAAAGTGAAATGTTTCATAACTTCTGACAAAGAGCTCACTTTAATACTTTACCTTATCCATATTATATTGCGAAATTTCGTACAGAAAATTAGTTTGAAAGACGTTGAAAAAATATATGAAAAATGTACAACAGTTTACATGAACGATTTATGAATATGTATACATAAAAAGAAAAAAGAACAAATTCGGAATTTTGTTTGGAACAGAGGGTTGATATTACGTGACGTTACAAATAACCTTAATTAAGTACATAAAAAATGAGACTCGACTATATTATTAGAACTGCAATACAACTCTTCGGACTTTTCTGTCAATTATTGGCTCTCTGTCCGTCAAACCTTCGGATAAGGATGTGTGGTATATGTATATTACGGGTCTCTCGATATATATTTTCATGAAGCACGAGAAAGGTTCGGTCGACATGTTAGATCACATTCTGGAAGTAAATGAGGGACTAAAACACGAGTTCGAAAAAAGAGGTATCATGGACAATGTGAAATATATTAAAAAAATGATAAATGGAAAACACAAAGATGCGTCCATAAGCATTCCGGAAAAAAAAAGTTTTCTATACGAGGTAAATTATTTTATTGGCTAAATATGTTTATCTTAAGAACAATGAAAGTATATTTATGAAACTGCTATATGTAATTTGACTAGCTTTCTTAAAAGTGTGTAATATTACATAAATTCGCGGTCACTTAGAGTCAGGAAAGACAATCTTAGCAATATTATAGCAATTTAATGTTGATAGTATTTTATTTTAATTTATCCCCTGAAGCGGATTAAGTGCATCGCTTGACTCCGTGGATATACATTTATAAAATGAATGTTTACTAAGCATCAAAATAGCGGACACCTTTTATTTCCATTATTTTTTATTAAAGTGAATTGGTCTACATAGGACACATTTTTCATAATATTTCAAATAAAAATAAATCAATACGAATGCATCATTTAGATATTCTTATGAATAATGGTGTAGTTTGTACTGGAACACTAAGACGCTATAAGAAAATATCAAAAGTTCAAAAAAGCTCAAAAGGAGTGGCGTATGAGCAACTAAACTGTTCTTAAGTACCGTCTAATAAACTTAGCCTTTGAAGAACCCAAATAGATGCGACACTCAACTATTCCGTGGAAACGACTGGCATCAGGTCTTCTCATTTAAGAACAATGACTAAATGCATTCTTAAAATGAAAAAATGGCCGCAATTAATTAAAGGAATTTTAAATGATCGCTGAAAATAAATATCTATGGAATTAAAATATGTTCGTAGACTTCAGTGTAAATCATGCGAATACACTTGACAATGAAGATTTTGTGAGGTACCATATCTGGAATAAATTTTTCGTTTTGTTTATATCTTGACATCTCTCAGTTTTAAATATAAAGTAAATGTAAGGAATTTGTAATATTATACATACTTAGCATCTGACACCATATAAATATTGTTTTGCTATATTCTCCTGCATGTCACACCAGCAACCTAACTGACTTTTAAAATACAACCTTAAACAATTTTCAACATTTCAGATTGTTTCGAACGAACGAAATAAGATAGATGTCGACAAGTGGGACTACTTTGCACGTGACAGTCACATGTTGGGTATTGGAAACAATTTTAATCACAATCGATTAATATCATTCTCGAGGGTTATAAAAGTTGAAGGAGAACATCAGATTTGCTATAGAGACAAAGTAGGCATTATTTGACTTTATCTTATGTTGTTTGGTGAAATATTCAAATATTTCAATGAGATATATGTAATATTACACTTTTTGAAACATAGAATCAGGGATACTGTTCTATACATTGAAAGGCATGGGAAAGCGGAACGCACGAGGTGAAAACATTTTTATTTTAACTTATGTCGGGTCTTTGCTGCTATTTTGATTCATGTCTGGAATGATGATGTTATATAAGCAAACGTTTTTGATTTTAATAAATCTTTTATAACTCGCGCTTTGTGCTCTAGATATCTTAAGTAATCCCAAATTGATATACAATTCATGTCCACTTTCCAAACAAATATCCTCGATTTTTGATTTGCTATTATTTCAATATTGATTAAACATCTGATATAAACAATTGTTCTTATATTGATATACCTGTGTTTTATCTCCTTTCTCGTTGATCGAAAATTTGTTATTACTTGTACTTAGCCTGGAGAGCATGAGCTGAGATATGAACAAAGACTTGTTAAATTTGTTGAAAAAAATATTGTTTACATAACCTACTAGTATATCATGTTGCATGTTGTACACACGCTGTGTATCATAATAAAGGTATATATCTAAAAGTTATAACAAAATATATATTACTAAGTATACTTTATCGTTTATCTTTGAATGCTATATTTAGTGTAGAGTATAAAAAGAAAATACAGTACATGCATGGTAAAAATCTTCATACAATGTTCATTTCTAGGAAGCTACAAACCTCTATGATATGTTTCATATAAGAAATTTACTCCACCAGAGGGCGTACCAACATAAGACAAGCAACAGCGTCGAAATCATGTATGTATCTATGTAAGAAACGTTACCGCCATTTAATAAAGTGACATTATGCTAATATTGTTTCGCTGTCGAGTTGAGCTGACTTAGCTTTTATATTCCAAAAGACGGACTTTTGCAATGTTAATTGACCAAAAATTGATAAATGGTCACCCTAAGGAAACGAATTTTAAAAAATATAAAAGATTGTCCAACTATTTTAATTACTTAGATGTTATGGCAATATTTAGATTTTTCTTTGGGCTATGTTTAACTTATTTATTTAGGAAATAGATATCAATTCTGAAGGCATTCTGAATAATGCACGGTTTGAGTTCAAATGCGTAGCAATATAATCACGAAAGCCGATAGGCCTGAGTGATTTATTACAAAGCATTTGAACTCAAGCGAATAATATGATCGTGCATATAAAATAATGCACGAAGAATTAATATCTATTTTCATTCTAACACGTCAAGAAAATAAATATAATTATCATTATAAAGTTGGATTTAACGATGTGTTTTAAACAGTATTTCAATTGCACAAAATGAGATCAAAGACTATCAAGGAAGATAGCTCATCCCTCCTACCAACCAGTGGGGCACCGATTTAAAAAGAACAAGCAAACGCTTGTGAAAAAATGAGGCCAGGGAAGGGGCGGGTAGCCACAAATTAGAAATAAATCAAAGAAAAAGTATGACCTTAGAGGTTTAATGGGATAGATGGTTGTTTAACCGCATTGGAACAGTCAGAAGCGCAATCTCTATCAGGAAGTAAATTTAATTTGCGCCATTGATATTGCAGGCTGGCCGAAGCTTTGGTGTTAGCTGACGAACACATAACATTCGAGGGGGAAAACGGGTAAAGGTTACTTTTGCTTCTTTAAAAATTAAATAAATAAATAAAAAATAAATAAACAAAAAACATAGTTTAATAAAAACTATAAAAAGATAAATCTAGAGATGTACCGGTATATAATCCCCCCCTGGAAAATTGCAATATTTTGTTAATACATTCTCACTCCGAAAATGTATGATAGCGCTTTCACGGAAAGAAACACAAATTTTTTATTTTCTTATTTAAAACTATTTAAGCAAATAAAAGAAAATTGAATACTAAAAGTAGTTTGTTTCCGACTGTCTTCATTAAATGTAATTAAACTCAAGCGAATAATATGATGTAAGGTGTTCATCGACTGTGCATTTGAGCCGTGTCATGACAAAACCAACATAGTGGCTTTGCGACCAGCATGGATCTAGACCAGCCTGCGCATCCGCGCAGTCTGATCAGGATCCATGCTGTTCGCTATCAGTTTCTCTACTTGTTAAAGAGTTTGTAAGCGAACAGCATGGATCCTGATCGGACTGCGCGGATGCGCAGGCTGGTCTGGATCCATGCTGGTCGCAAACCCAATTTGCTGCTTTTGTCATGACGCGGCTCAATTAAATTTATTAGCAACTGATTCCCTGAAGGACGCCTTAGTTTCACATAATTCGTATAATAAACTTTGTTGGGTTTTTTTCTACGTTTCTGTTCAGGTATACTGTACGTTTTATTTCTTTTTCTGTTCTTATCAAGATTTCGATTAAAATGATTATTATACCAGTAGTTTTGTTTTGTATGGTATTATGACGTGCAAACTTTAATAAACTTTTAGAATATATGTCCGCATGTCCGATACAGTCAAGGATATGAAGGCCTACACTCTTCTTAACGATGGAGTCATTCATAAAATCATAGAAAGCGATAGAGAGGAACTAAAAAAATCAAAAGAAATTCTTAATAGGATTCTTCGACGAGATTTGTACAGATGTGTCGGCGAAAAAAGGTTTGCTGGAGGGACGTTTGGGAAAGAAGTAAGTTTAAATCGCTGTTGAAACAAACAGCGTGACGTTGCTATGGTTACAAATAACTCGAATATATATATTTCTGGAACCGTTAGTGTTTGACAACTTTTTTCTTCGACTATTGTATTAAGATGTGTTGGATAAATGTTGGTTTCGTTGATCTATTACTTTCACAGATTTTCGGTTCTTTTAATTCGGTGATGTTTTTTGTTTTAGTTTCTGGTTTTCTTTGTTTCTTTTTTACAAGTGGTCATAATTCAACTCTTGGCTGTTTTTTATATGATAGGTAATTCGGCCCGTAAATCAAATCATGTAAAAGCAGCTGCTGCATTTGGTTTTAAATTATATATAATTACCTCCCATTTAGAATTTGAATTTCGTATATATTTAGAAATACTTTAATTTGCCACATTGCTTTGTTTTGTAATAAATATTTTTAAAACCTTCTGAATATCAACTGATATCATTGGCGAACCTTTTTACCTGAGACTATGAATCAAAGGTTGATGCTAAATTACACACAAGAATTGGAAATGAATTCGAAAAAGATGCTAAAAAATTGCCGTTCAGTAGAGTTTTCGAAAAAAATATATACTCTTCCGAAACAACAGGGCTTTATATTTTTTCTTTTAAGAGAAATATATTTCATATAACAGGAGCTTTTACACTGGTTTCAAGCTTTGTACATTAAAAGAAGTATTTCATATACCCGACAAAAACATGGCGGATGACATGCCTCGTATGCGCCTCTTTTTTGAGGTATTTTGTCATCCATTTTGTCATTATGTGATACGTATTTTTTCCTCTATTCTGATTGGCTTAAAGCAGGCGGTGTACGGGTAGAAATTATCAAATCTATTTATATATTATTGTATATAAGCCGAATTCTTTGTAGGATGATGTATTAAATGACATTAAGGCCACATTGACTGACAAGCCGCATTTTAAAAAGACTGTTTCCGAACTAGATAAGAAGGACTACATAGTCGTAGACGTAAGTATAATTGTTCTCGATTAAAATGCTTTCTAGGTCAAAAAATTATATATAATCAAATTGTAACGAATGGGGGGTGGGGGGAAGGAGAGACTATTTTAAATAATATAATTTCTGTTAGAAACAATTCAAACTTAATGTTGTTATAGTAAACCGAATCTTTTGTAGCAACAGACCCGATAATTGTTTCTAGTTTTATTTTAAAACATGTACATGTGGCAATACTTTAAATACTAATATTGGGGATTGAAATTTTATTTTATCATTTGAACGCTAAAGCGACAATTCAATATTATCTACCGCCC